ATGAAGAACTCCGGTAAAAGAATGATCAAACAAAAAGGAAAGAGAAGTTGAAAACATAAGGTGAAACCTTGTAATGATTTAGATGGATCTCCGCGATGACATAATTGAGAGAGCTTGGAACTCCGGGAAAGAAAAAGATGACACAATTGAAAACCGAGAACTTGATGAGCCTCCGGAATACGGAATTGAGTTTACTCGATGAAACAAGAATAAGAATTACATTATGCTTATCTTTCACCAATTAAATTGATGACAAGCAACGGATTTGGCATACTACTTATTCTCGTAGAAAGGATTAAGATAGATATAGCATAACTTGAGAAAATCTTCAAGAAGTCACCGGTAGGATTGAGATGAACGAATGAATATATACGATAACGACTGACGAGAACTCTTGCACGAACCACCGTTAGGATTGACAACAAATAAATAGATATGATAGCAAGGAAGAAAAATCCTGAATAGCCACCGTAAGAATTGGAAATGAACGAAGTAAAGGGATGAATCACCTGTAAGAACTAGAGAACGAGTGATGATACTTGAGGGGATTTAGATACCACTGAAACGAAGAGATCACGAGCTAATTAGAGAATATTGAATGATGCACCGGTAAGATTTGGAGAATGATAGCTGAAGGCTGAGAATGAATAAGTCTTCTGAAATGATGGGCTCCGGAGGAAGGAAAAGAGAAAACAACTCATGAAATGCTTCGGATGGATGAAAAGAATTCCCACAATCAAAAACACTTATGAGAGGATGGCCTCAAACTAGAATCACGAATCTTTGAGAGAACGGATAAGATTGAGAGAGAAATCTTCTTTAGTCTTTAAGTGTTGAGAATGACAATGAGAAACACCACCATGAATTGTTGAGGCACTCCAGAATGAAAATTAGAAATGTTGAACCAGCGATGAAAATAATTTGACAGATCCTGGAGAAGTACATTTGACTGATGAAAATTCATTCTTGCGTCAAACTTTGAGATGAATTTGAAAAGCTCCGGGAGAATAAGAAGAGTCAGGTAAGATCCTGGGAAAAGACCTGTGGGTTAGGGCCCACTCAAAAGATACACCGTAGAACGATTTAAAAGAGAGAAAGCACCGGTTGAATTAAATGGCTAGAATGAGATAACACCCTCGAAAGAGCTTGAAAGGATTACGAAAGCAGAGTGGAAACACGAATCTTCGAGATATCTTGAGCACTTCGGAACAATAGAATAACGAGCGTGGAATGACTGAATATAAGGTGCACCGGCATGAGAAGACATTTGAAACACGGAAAAGAATATGATCAACACCGAAAGCTTGAATTGGATCCACCGGAGAAGAAAAGGCAAATAATGGTGAACTTGAGGCTCCGTTAGAATCTTCATGAGAATCACCGGGTAAGAACATGAAGGAAAAGAATGGAGAGACTTCACATGAATAAAAGGATACTTGATTAAGAAATCTGAGTCCTTGAAGAAACAAGGGTGGGAGGGTGGGAAAAACAAAGGCAACTTGGAGACAGATGAAACAAACACCGTTGACGAAATTTTTTGAGTTGATCTTGCAGATGTTGAAAATGACCAGATCCACTTGACGAGAAACTCACCGGTTGAAAAAGTATTGACATGACAATCTTGATTATCATGAAGGATTAGTATTCACATAGGAACATGAGAACACCATTTGGGGAAGGTATGGAATTAACACTTGACGTTGAAGCAACTCGAATACCACAACTCAAAACAAAACAAAGGATTGGCTTGCAGAATAAGCCGGAACAAACATATGATAGAGATTTCGTCCGAAGTCTTCGTGGTGGGGCCTACACGGGCTCGATCGTACAACACCATCATGCACAAGGCAGTGCCAGCGATTCGATCAAGCAGGGGGCTCCTAAGTCGGGGAAGGCTCTGATACCAACTTGTAACACCCTCGATGCGGCTATATCTCCCACGTGTCGAAGCACGACTTAGAGGCATAACCGCATTGAAAGCAATGTCGCAAGTGAGGTAACCTTCACAACAACCCATGTAATGAATAAGGGAATAAGAGGTACATAGTTGGCTTACAATCGCCACTTCACACAATACATGAATACAGCATTACATCATCCAGATACAATCAAGGTCCGACTACGGAACCAAAATAAAAGAAGACTACCCCAAAAGCTACACAGATCCCCGATCGTCCCAACTAGGCTCCACTACTGATCAACTGGAAACAGAAACAACAAAACGAACACAATCTTCATCGAGCTCCTCGAGCTCGGTTGCGTCACCTGCACGGTATCATCGACACCTGCAAGCTGGTTTTGGAAGTTTCTGTGAGTTACGGGGACTCAACAATCTCACACCCGCGCGATCACGACTATTTAAGCTTATATGAAGGGAAAATGTATGAGGTGGAGCTGCAGCAAGCGACTAGCACATAAGGTGGCTAACAAACGCAAATGAGAGCGAGAGGAGGAGGCAAAGCACGGTCGAGAAACTATGATCAAGAAGTGATCCTAGAACAACCTACATCAAGCATAACTCCAACACCGTGTTCACTTCCCGGACTCCGCCGAGAAGAGACCATCACAGTTACACACGCGGTTGGTGCATTTTAATTAAGTTCAACTTCAGGTTCTCTACAACCTGACATTAACAAATTCCCATCTGCCCATAACCGCGGGCACGACTTTCGAAAGTTCAATCCCTGCAGGGGTGTCCCAACTTAGCCCATCACAAGCTCTCACGGTCAACGAAGGATATTCCTTCTCCCAAGACAATCCGATCAGATTCGACATCCCGGTTACAAGACATCCTCGACAATGGTAAAACAAGTCCAGCAACACCGCCCGAATGTGCCGACAAATCCCGATAGGAACTGCACATATCTCGTTCTCAGGGCACACTTAGATGAGCGCTCCATACAACTAAAACCAAACCCCGAGTTTCCCCGAGGGGGCGCTGCATAGGGCTATAATTTGGACCAACACTCAGAGGAGCACTGGCCCCGGGGGGGGGGGGTTTAAATAAAGATGACCCTTGAGTCTGCAGAACCCAAGGGAAAGAAAAGGCTAGGTGGCAAATGGTAAAACCAAGGTTGGGCATTGCTGGAGGAGTTTATTCAAGGCAAACTGTCAAGGGGTTCCCATTATAAACCAACCGTGTAAGGAACGCAAAATCTGGGAACATAACGCCGATATGACGAAAACTAGGGCGGCAAGAGTGGAACAAAACACCAGGCATAAGGCCGAGCCTTCCACCCTTTACCAAGTATATAGATGCATTAAAATAAATAAGAGATATTGTGATATCCCAACAAATATCCATGTTCCAACAAGGAACAAACTCCAATCTTCAGCTGCAACTAACAACGCTATAAGAGGGGCTGAGCAAAGCGGTAAAATAGCCAAACAATGGTTTGCTAGGACAAGGTGGGTTAGAGGCTTGTCTTAACAATATGGGAGGCATGATAAGCAAGTGGTAGGTATCGCAGCATAGGCATAGCAAAAGAGCGAACATCTAGCAAGCAAAGATAGAAGTGATTTCAAGGGTATGGTCATCTGGCCTGAGATCCCGCAAGGAAGAAGGACGGGTCCATGAAGAAGACAAACAGACATAGTCGAACGAATCCTCACAATGCGACGTTATCAAAACTAACCCGAAGAAGCAACACCAGAAAGAAGCAAACAACATAGTAAACAATCATCACATAACATGGCATGACACACAATCAAGTATGATGCATGTCCGGTTTAAATATGCATGGCATGGCAAAGGGCACAAACAAAACTACAAGTTAAGTGGAGCTCAATATGCAACGAGTTGCATATTGACGCAACACCACATCCATTATTTAGTTCTCTCTCGTTTAGGTACCCAACAATATTAAATGTTGTTAAACATGGCAAGAGGTGAGGCATAACAAAACTATACCATCCAAACAATTTAAATGGGGCCGGATATAACAAACAACAAACCCGGTAAAACCCCATATGCATTAGTAACTTAAAGCAAACAACAATTTTAAACATTTAAATGTTATTATCATGATGCAAATGACATGTGCAAGTTTTATGCAGTATTTATGGAAACATTGATAGGAGCATATTAAGAAGCATTTGTCATCGTGGCGGAAATGAAAAGGAGTGCCACGGAAACGATAACGAAACGGTGCCACGGCAACGTCCCGGTTTCTGGTAACTTGATTGAGATACCGATGCAAAGAGGAAGTGTGCGAATGCGTGCAAAAGATGGTGGGGCGCTCCCGGATTCCTGGTGTCCCACGAGACGATGGTAACAAGGCAAAAGAGGGGCAACGTGCATCGACAATTCGAGCACGGAGCAAGCACGAGCATCTCATACATCACACATGCATTAGTTTATGGGCGGTCGTCTCGGCGGTTATACCTTTGAAGCATGCATTATCGGAGCGGTTCGCGTCGGTGCAGAGGAAGTAGTGGAAGTAGACATTCTCGGACGTCGAGGGAAGTAGTGGTTCACGCGATGGTAGTCGAAGTAGTCGTCCCATCGTTCATCGGCGATGGTAGTGGTTCACGGCGATGGTAGTCGTTCACGTTCTTAGTCGCACAATTTTCCGTAGATGTTTGGGGTCACGGCGAGGAACTTGACGTCCACGGAGGCTTCGAGGGTCGACGGTTGTGGTACTCGTGACGGTAGTGGAACTTGACGTGGTATGGTCCACCGGTCTTCGTGACGGTAGACGTACATGCTCCGATGGTCGGGGTCGGTAGAGGTACTCACGGCGATAGGGGAAGTAGTGGTACACATCTCGCGTTTGTGCTACATGGATCATCGGCGATGGTAGATGTACACGGCAAAAGTAGTGGTTCTATGCGTCAAATGTCGTCGTTCTTGGGGTCTTCGGACTTGCCGGCCTCGGTTCTTGCGACGGTAGTGATTCCCGTATCAACGTAGAGTAGTTGTACTTGACGGTTCCACATCGGTCGTAGAGGTCCACATATTGTAGACGTCCGGGGTCAACATTAGTGGAACTTGGTGCACCCTAGTGCCATCGGCTTCTTGGCGTTCCGAAACGAAGACTGCAAGGGGCCTCGAGGTGGTGGTGGTGCAACTCTACACCACATAGGAGGAAGATCTTGGGCATGAGGCGTCCATGGTGGCCAGAGCCGAGGTGGATGACGAAGTAACGGTCCCACGGTTGAAGATGAACGGCGACGACGTTGGTAACAGGGGAGGTCAGAGAGCGCGGTGGTGCTAAACTTGACGAATTCCGGCATGGCCGGCAGGGGCGCAGCGCAGGAGGGGCGGAGGCCAGCTTGCTGATGAGGCGGACATGCCTCAGCAGGGGCCGGCAGGAGGTGCAACAGCAAGCACAGCCACAGCTACAGCGAGACAGCGGCGCCATGGTGGGCTCGCGGTGGAGGCAGGGAAAGAGCCGCGCGGGGGAGGAGGAGCTGGTGGCGCTAGAAGAGCAGCAACAGAGCAGCTCACGAGCGGAGGCTGCTGCTCGCCGGAGTTGATGTCCAGCATGGCGGCAAAGACTTGCGGGCATCCATGGAGGGGCAAGGCAGGGGTGCTCGTTGGAGGAGCTCAGGACGGGGATCGGGAACGAGGAGGAGAATGAATCGGGCGCGGGGCTCTTGCGGTGCCCTTTCCTCGATGCGTGTCTGGCGGCGCCAGGAGGAAGGAGGGGTTCGAGAGGGGGAGGTGAGATGGGATCGAGCCAAAGCTCTCCCTGGCAGCGCGAGGGGAGAGCAGAGGGAGGATGAGATCGGGTAGGGTTTGGAGGAGTTAGGTGGGCCGGTGCTGGATGGGCCTATAGGCCGACTGAGCTAATGGGCCGGCTGGGTGGCCGAGGCCCAGGTAGCTGCTGCTGCTGCTTTTCTATTTCTCCAGACAGAAAAACAAAAAGGAAAGAGCAGGAAAAAAGGAGAGGAGCTTGAGAAATATAAAAATATACTCGTGATCCTGAAAATGTGCTCTATTTAACAAAATTGGTTTGGAGATTTTTAAAGGAAGTAAAAATAATTCAAGTTTGAATTAAATTCAAACTTGAACCATTTTAAACCCTAACCAAAACAATTTCAATAGAGATGAAATTTGACATAGAGGCTAGGTGCATGGTGTTAGAATATTGAGGCAAAGATGAACATTAAAAGAGAAGGGAACGTGACACTTGCCAAAAGAAGGAAGTAGAGGGAAGGAGAAGGTGATGAAGCAAGATTCATGCATGGAACATGCAACAACTTAATATGTATGAAAAACACACAATGCACATGATGACATGATGAAATGCAACATGATGCAATGATGAATGCAAAGAACCAAACAAATCACACGACGAAACCCGGAAACCCTGGAAGGCATCTGAAGCTCCGGTCTTGGGGCGTTACAATGGGTACCCGCGGGTACCCTACCCGAAAACAATGGATATGGGCAATACTTGAAGAGATTTTTTACCCACGGGTAATCGGTACGCATACCCGCATAATATAAGGGTAGGACATGGGTAAGAAATTGTGCCCATGGGTAACCCAATGGATACCTAGAAAAATTAATAAATGAAAATAACTCCTATAACATGTGGGGTTAACATCCAACTCATATGGTCCAACCTTAAATCTCGTATTCCTTAAACAAGTCGTAGCTCATAGCCTCATAATCACCTGCTCGCCACTCCTCATACGTCCTATGTGACTCATCAAAAACATGAAATATTGACTCTTCGCTACCAGACTCTTGTCAAATACTCGATCCAGCGATCCCCAATTCCCACCACCGCCTTCCACTACGTCGGCCTTCCACCAACCGCTGCTCATACTCCCCTGATGCCTCCAAGAGGCCACCCACTAGAGGAGGCCACATACGTGCTATACTACTCTACCATGATCACTTGAATTTTGAACCCATTTCTCTACCTCTTAAGAATTTGAATGCTATATATTGTATCCAATGGATACCCATTGGGTATAGGATACCCGATGGGTATGGGCATGGGTGTCAGTTTATACCCATGGGTATTGAAGTGGGTGGGTATAAAAAGTTTCTATGGGTATGAGTTTGGGTAGAAGGAAGTTGTACCCGTTCATACCCTACCCATTGCCATCCCTACTGGCCGGTTGATGGCTTTGTTAATGGACGCCGATAACGGCCACACGTATGGGCGTTAAGGAATCTGCCCACATGTTCTGTGTGGTGCCTAAGAGGACCAGCCCACACGTCTGTGTGTGTGGGCAAAACAATTAGCGCCCAGACGCCTCTTTTTTCCCTCCTGGTCCCTCTTACACGCGTGCGTGTGGGCCTCGTACCCCGTGGTCCCACACGCCCCACGTGACACGCGCGCCCCGCAGTTGCCATGGGCCGGACCCTCGTCCATGTTCGTTTAAGTGCAGTTGCCATGTCGCTGAACTACGGTTGCCATGTCGGACAACTACAGCTGCCATGTTTGCTCAACTGCAGTTGCCATCTCAGGTCAAAGTTCCAGATTGCCATTTTTTGGACAACTAAAGCTGTTGCCATGTGTGGTCTGGTCTACTACAGTTTTCATGATTTCAGAACTTTAGGAGTTGCCACCTACTAACACTAGGAAGTTGCCATGTAGCGCTACAAAAAAAGGCATGCCAAAAAGCATGTTCGGAAAAAAGAGAGAGTTGCCATATGCTCACAAGCATGCTAGGGCAGTTGCCATTTAAAAAAAAGAGTTGTCATCTGCTTACGTGCACGCTAGGGCAGTTTGCCATGTACCATGCAAAACATATGACAACTGACATGTTCGGGTAAAAAAAGAGAGAGTTGCCATCTGCTTGCAATCATACTAGGGCAGTTGCCATGTACATTGCAAAACATACTAGGGCAGTTGCCATGTACACTAACATATGGCAACTGACATGTTCGGGTAAAAAATAGAGAGAGTTGCCATCTGCTTGCAATCATACTAGGGCAGTTGCCATGTACACTGCAAAACGCATGGCAACTGGCAGCTTTGGTATGGGAGAGGAGGCGGGTGTGTGGGCGAGATGGCAAACACCCACACACCAGCCCTTGTGCGTGACTGAAAACTGGTGTGTGGGCGAACTGCTAAACGCCCACACACCGGCCCCTCCGTGTGGTAAAACGGATGTGTGGGCGACCTCTCTCACACACCACACGCGAGTTGTCCTATGTGGCATACAAAATCAGCTAATTCGTGCCAAGATTCGTGCAGAAGTTACTGGACGGTGATAGAGGCGTGTGGACGAGTTGATTAACGCCCACACGTGTGGGCGTTAACATTTTCATTGTTAATTTAAAGCCGAGCTTTTCTTGAGCCTTTGTTTTAAAAAAAAAAAACTACAGGCAAGAGGTGATCTCTTGAAATCAAATCTAATGAACGGGGTATTTTATTGACAATTCTTCACAAACGAATACAGAGCCGCACCACAAAAATGCAATGCTAGGTTTAGGGAAAACCCAGCCATAAACAGCTACACACGAACGGCAAGCGACGCCTCAAATTCAGTAAGTGGCCACACAGAAGGAAAGAAACGCTGAAATGAAAAAGCAAACACTTGTGCATGACTCTGTGTCACCGGAGATGTACACCAGCCTAAGCTTCGATGCCATCGTCGCCGACGTTCTCCTTGGAGAGCTCCTCGAGCGACTTGCCCTTGGACTCCGGCACCAGCAGGGAAAAGAGCAGGCCCAGGAAGTTTGTGCCTGCGAGCACGAAGAGCGAGTTGCGCATGCCAATTCCCCGTGAGTAGCCGGTGTCGGGCTTCTTCTGGTCCTGCGATGCATACAGGAACCCGAACGCGCCGATGATCGCGCCTGCCTTACCAGTAGCGGCAGAGATACCGTGGCATGTGGACCGGAGCCTCGCAGGGAAGATCTCAGCTGGCACGATGAAAGTTGTGCTGTTGGGGCCGAAGTTGGCGAAGAAGAAAGTGAGCCCGTAGAGCACGACGAAACCGGTGTGGTGCCCTGGCTTCACCAAGTAGTCGTACGGTATGGCGATTGCTAGCATGAAAATGGTCATCATGGTGAATCCCATGAGCTGGATCCAAAACCTCCCAATGATGTCGATGAAGGCGACGGTGAACCAGTAGCCAGGCACGGTGCCACAGAGCGCGATGAGCGCTTGGGCGCGGGCGATGCGGTACAACTCCTCCAATGCATTCATAGTCTTGGCCGGCGGGATCCACCCGATCTTGGTGAAGATGTCCTTCTGGAATAGGTTCTGGCTGTAGAAGGCCACATCGAGTAGGAACCAAGTGCTTGTGGTCGCTAGCAAGTGCACCCCGTGGCGCTTCATGAACTGTCGGGAGAAGAGGCCCCAGGTATCACCGGTGGCCCGCTCACCCTGGACGTTCTCCTCTAAGATCTCCTTGTTGAGCACCTTGGACATGTCTGATGTGGCTTGCTTCGTGTTGCCGGCGATGAGTGCCGTGTACCGCGCAGTTTCGGGCATCTTCATGCGCCAGTAGTAGGTCAGGGCAGCCGGGATGGTGCCGAACATGACGATGATGCGCCACACGTAGTCGGCCTCCGGGCCGATGGACGCCGCGGCGTCGATGTAGAATGGCGGTGCAGGGAATGCATGTCGGAATGCGGACGAGACGATGATCGTGACGATAGTACCAAATAGGATGCCAAACCCCTGCATGGCAAACACGGCGGCGATAAAGGTGCCGCGGGTCTTCTTGTTAGCATACTCCGACATGATGGTGGCGCTGAGAGGATAATCGCCGCCGACGCCGAAGCCGAGCCAAAAGCGGAAGAAACATAGCGTCCCCATTACGCCCTTGGCCTCGTGTCCAAACGAGAGCCCAGACGCGATGGAGCAGAGGACCATGAGGATGAGCGTGAAGCCGTAGACGCTCTTGCGGCCGAGCTTGTCACCGAGCCAGCCGAAGAAGAGCTGGCCGGCAAGTGTGCCGCATAGGGCCACGCCGTTCACGGCGGCCGACACGTTTGCCGGGAGGTGGCCAGGCTCGTTGAGGGCAGGGTCGGTGTAGTAGATGCGCCCCAGCAGCTTGGTGACGAGGGCGATGCAGAAGAGGTCGTAGGCGTCCGTGAAGAAGCCCATGCCGGCGATCACGACGGCCTTGAAATGGTACAGCTGCGTCTTGGCAACGTCGAGCGCTTTCAACACGTTGAGCTGTTCAGTCGCCATGGCCGCCGGCGATCTCTCAGCTAAACTCTTCCCCCTTCTATCTTTCTTCTCTTGCTCTCTAGCTTGTGTGCTTTGTTAGGTGTTTCTGCTACGTATATATAGGCATAATTCAGGGTGAAGGCATACAGGTAAGGAGATATTGTAGTATGCCAATTCAACATTGCTAGTTGTAAGTATAAAATTGCCTATTACGGCATCGCTTACAAGTACAACGGATTGTACATATCAGGATGGTTCTTACAAAAATATACGCA